ATCTGATTTCATGTATCAATTTAGAAGAACAGACTAAGGATATCTTAAAACTGAAATCGGTTTCGAATACAACCATCAGGGACGTAGAAAAGCATCTGGCGTTTGGGGTGGGTGATGTTGGAGAATTATGGATGTAATAATTATAATAAAGCTTTTTGTGATCGATTGACACTCTCATACTAAGTTTTGGGAGAAAAGGGTGGTCTGGGGGACCGCTCCCCTGAAAAGTTTTACATTTTTGAAGCTCTAGGACTAGCTGAATTTCTGGCGTTTTTTAAAGCAAATTCGCAAACAGATTTCATGTAAATTGACTGCATGTTACAAAAATGGTTATCATTTCACAAAAATAATTACTTTATTACCCAAATTTTACCTGAAAATGTCAAAATTTTAACTTGAATTTTGCATGATTTTTGCCTGAATTTCAAAACCATCTATTCTATTAACTATGGTGGGAGTCAACACTCCAGGCCCCTGCTGCACCAAAACTTTGAAAATTTTAGAGCCCCCCCCCCCCCCTCAGTATATTGAGAACTTTCAGAGCCTCCCTTAATGCCAGAAAATATTTCGGGGGCCCCACTTAGCATCTTTAAATACCTCGGCGTAATAAATGTACTTTCCCTAAGACAACCTTATTGATTAATTGAATTATGAACGAGAAACAAATGTGTGCAGGAAACATAGGGGTTATAACCTTCATGTGCAGGCCTGCCATTCTACCAATGATGAAACGTGGAAATGAGGCCATTGGGTCAAAAGTAAACTTCCCTTTAGAGAATTGTTTAGAAATACAAACTTTTGCATTCAGTTCACGTGGCAAAGAGGCAGCACTTTCCTTGCGATAGTAACTCCTAGTTACAGATTTGCACCATAGGCTCCCAAAAAGGTTTTTTATTTCTTTCAAAAATCCATATAATTTGCTTGCGGTTTACGACTTGTATTCTTGTCTACTGCACCATAGCACGTATGTCGTCATTTTCAGGTCAGTGTGAACACCTGAGCAGGCGTCTTGTTTAATTTAGCTTTCCTGTTCGATTCCTTAAATGGAATGTGAATTATTTTTATAAATTGTTCAGGATGGTAGACTATTGCCTGAATTATTTCTCTGTTCATATAGGCCTAATTCCACGCGATAAACGAAATGCAAATTTTTTTCGCGAAAAGGTTTCAACGCATGCGCAATAAGATTTTGGAGTGTTTCTCTTCGCCGGGTAGTTGAATCATAGACAATCCAGAAGACAGTCTTCTGGATTGTCTATGGTTGAATTCATTTCTACTCCGATGCGAAATGGAAATAGCGAAGCCAATCAAATGCCTGTGTCTTGTATTACAACATGCACTCGTACTTTTAATCGCTAATTGTACGAGCAACATCGCATGATTACTTGTTTATTATTAGCAGGACAAAATTGGGATAATTCTCAATGTCGACATCATATTCTATTGCCAAAGGCAGTCCTGCCACAACCTCGTACCCAGGCTCTTTCCACTATACTTCTCGCTGGAGGAAAGACCCTAGTCCAGACTTGTCACGTATCTCCCAGATTTTGGGAGAAACAATTGGGACTTGCGGGGAGTAGGGAAAGCAAATGTGGCGTTCGAGTTCAAAACAATTCAAGGAGTGTGAATAAAGCAACAGAAAGGACTACCATAAAACGAAGTTTTTATTGGCATGTATTTTTCATAAAACACGTCATAACGGTTATTGTAAGGGGAAGTTGTTAATAAGGCCTGGCTGTACGTTTGAAATTAAACTCTTAAAACGCTAGTAGATGATAGATGTTCTTCTCGAAGCTCACTCAACGACACAAGATATCTTAAGATTGAAGTTTATTTTATTCACGCCTAACCGTAAACCGCAGTTTGCTTGTTAGCGGTTTCACATTTGCCGTACTTGCAAATATGAAATTAAGATTGACGTTTTTCTTCGGGTTCAATTTTTTAGTCCTGTCAAAACTATAGGATCCGTCTGAATTGCGCCATCCTATCAAAAAGACAACCCTGAGTCACTACCAATTTGTTAAAATGAATTGAAACATGAAAGTACAAATGTAAGTAAAACATATGCAAATATATGTTTAAACAGAAGTTGTGCAAAGGTCATGAATGATTTTGAACTTGCTTTATCGTTGTATGTAAATGTGTATTAAAATGATTCAAAACATGTCTTAAAATGAACAAACCTCAACTTAAACCTATCATACCAAAATCAGGCACAAAAAATACTATTAGAGGGCATTGTGAAAACCCGAAATGCCGAAATATCACGGAATATGGCGGAATATCACGGAACATAGCGGAATATCACGGAATATTGCGACATTTTCCCGTAATATACCGGAACATCAAGATATTTTCCGATAGTAGCCATGCGACTGTTTATAAACATGGACGTCTGGCAACATATTATATTACAAAAGTGATGGATCTTTCCCACTTTGAGTTTGACGGTAAGTAACAAACAATAACTCAATACTGGAAGTTTTATATGTTGTTTATATCATTATTACGAGTGTCCACCAAAACTTTTGAATCAATATGATTAATTCCTCCTAAGTTACAACGTCTTGAAAAATAAAAGTGCTGACGTCAGCATTATTTTCGAACGCCTTGAGAAATGTGTTATACACAAAATTTAGTTAAAAATGTTTGGTTAAGTTTAAGACGGATTTTTTACCTGATACTATAAACAAGAATTCCTCATCAAACATCTTGGCTCAAACTTGCCTTGATTTTAGCATTTGATATTCGGATAAGTGCTTGGCATGGTATAAAATTGTCCATTTTATACCACCAAGCATATAGTTTAATAAAGGCAAGTTTGAGCCAAGATGTCTAATTCTTATATCAGGTAAGAAGTCCCGTCTTAAACTTAACCAATAATTTTTAACTAAATTTTGTGTATTATAACGTTTTCTAAATTCCAAGAACCTTCTAGCCCATTATTTCATTTTTTTAGTACCTTAAATATTTAACAATTATTCGCCGAAGGCGAGGTGATTATCGGGGAATATTCGTCGAGACGAAGTCGAGGTTGTTTTAGTATTTTTGTGTTTTTTTGTGATTGAATTTATTTTAATTTCGCTTATTTCTTTATCAGTATAACGTCCACAAAACGGCTAGCCGCCATTTTGAAAATTTCGGTTTTGTTATATTCACCTGTAGGTGAATATAACAGTTAAATACGTCAAATTTGACCAATCAACTTATAGGATTTGTTATGTTCACTTGTGCAAAAATACTACTAATTATTATTAGATGGACAATGGTGTTTTACTTAAAAAATATAAAACATTTTCCGTGTTGATATACAGTTATATCAACACGAGTGGAATTGGGAAAACGAGAAATCGTATGGAAACACGATCCCCGAAGGACGGAGTGTTTTCATACAATTTCGAGTTTTCCCAACTTCCACGAGTTTTGATATAACTATATATCAATACGGAAAAAATGTTTTATATTTTTTTATAATATAGCAATGTCAAAAGCCCGAAGGATAGGAAAAATTTTCGTGTTTACAAGCGGCGGAAAATTTCCCGTGTTGACAATGAGTTATATCAACACGGCTCTTAGCCAATCAGCATTCAGAATTTACAAATGCTATATTATAATACAGAATTTAAAATGTGTAATTGCGATGTTCTAGTAAAAATATAGTCATTAATATGAAAATATTATTACATGTTTTAATATCATAATAATACCTTCAATAATGTCATGATTTTCATCATCAGCATGGTTTTTCTGCATGTCAGACTCATTATATATCTTTTTCATGGTCGACTTCAGCAATAGTGTCTAGCAAAGCCACTGGAATTAACACATTGTGTCTTTGGGATAAAAATCTGTCCAGCTGTTGAAATATTTCCATGGCTTTTTTCTCCCATTTCCACTCTTCTTAGCCTTGTCCTTTTCACTTTTATACTTTTGCTTTAATTCCTTTATTTTATTGATTATTTCTTTCAATGTCATATCTGTATATCCTCTTTCTCGCAGTATTTCATTTTAAAAACCATACAATGTCCCAAGCATCATAATGCAACTTAATACAAAGTCAAAGGTTCATAATTGTTTATATCAGCTATTCAGCTTGGTTAGGATATAAAAGTTTGGTAAAAAAGATTAATATAAGTTGGGCTGTTGGCTAGAAAACTCACCAAAATGGGAAAAATTAAACGAGCTTATAATAATTTTTAAAATCTATGATTCTATATATGTTGAAACTAGATCACTTTTATACAGTTATAGGCCTATCATGCAGACATGGTGAAAGGCCGACTTACCAGCAAAGACTTGTATATTTTGCTCTTG